CCGTGGTGCCACACCGCTGATATTATTGCAGCCGCTGTGGTTCCGCGTATTTCACGCATTCGATTGTGCCACAATGCATCCGCTCGTGTGGCCGCCGCATCCAAACAGCGGTGCCCAACACCGTGAGCGGCAGTCCACATCCTTGCATGTCCCAACGCAGTGGTGTTTGACCGTCAGCCAGGCGTCAGACAACACGAGAGTCTTGTGCTGGCAGTACAGCACACGGAGCTGCAGTGAATGACTCGGCGGCGACGCATCTATTCGTCGCAAAGCAGTGAAAAGGAGTCGGACAAAATAATGCCGGCTGCATTCACGACACCACATCCACAGCCAAAGCATGCGACGTGATGTGTGTTTCACTGCTGCTGTGAAATGCCTGCAGACGACGTCACTAGTGGAGGCATGCCACCCATGATCAGCGGACAGACAATAATCGGCATGGGAGGCCACAAAAGGCAGCAACGACGCCAGCAGCAGTAGCAGCTCTCTCTCTCTCTCTCTCTCTGCTGCCTCCGAGAAGTAAATATTCCACCAGCCACAGCTGACCGTGCCATCGTGACACTCCATGCACGTCGTGGCTGTGCCAACACATCCTGTTCCCTGCAGCGCCTCGAAAGATGCCCCACTCCGTCCACTGAGTGCATCGGTGTGGGCCGTGCCTCGGCTGTGAGTGAGGACCACAGCGATGTGAGGGTCACCGAGTCGCAGCATGTTTGCTGTGACGTTGTTGCATGGCACCTGCACACACACACGCAGCGCCTGCATCCCTCCCTTTTGTGTCCGCCCTCTGCCGGAGCGGCCACACACACGGGCAGCAGCAAAATCACTTCACCCTCGACAATACAAAATCAACACCGACATCCCTCGCGACGCAACGATCTCAGTTGCCAGCACGGGCCTCCTGTCGCTCTGCCATCGACGCCGAAACACGGCACAGTGCACGCAATTATTTTCCCCGTGTGCAGTCAGCCGTTTGCTTCACACATTCCTCGATGGGCTGACGTCCACAAAAGCACGCCACAAAAGGCCACCGTGATCGCACAAGCTCTTGCGATGAGCGTCGGTTTGTTCATGGATCCGCTGCTCACAAATGCTGGCAGGCAGCCTGCAGCCGGTGCCCTCGTGCCATTTCATCGGCTCCAGCATGGAAAAGGGAAAATGGCCCATTCCCGATGCACTTATTCCCACCGGCAGCACCAACACGGTGTTCGCCAGCCGTCGTTCCTCAGCACATCCAGGAATGCTGAAGAGTGACGTGGAACTGTCAGCCAGCAATGCCACAATCCCCGCACTCATGTCGGCTCCACCAGAGAGGACACACAAATCACAAACAACACCCTCCACATGATTTCCGAACATCATTCCGACACACCGCGACGCGTCAAACAGAAGTATTCGTCACCCCAATGCACCTCCCCACACAATCACATAGTCCATGCACCACGCACGGCAGCAGCTCACACGCGGTCAGACAAATGTTCCTCGGATCAGTGTTATCCGCGTGCTGCGGTGGGAAGTAAACAAAAGAGACGAGCTAGCAAACCCCAAAAGAGTGCCACGACTGGCCGCAACTCAACGGAACGCAGCCACACAAATGAATTCATTCCTCATGCCCTCAGCCTCCCACCTTCCCCACAAAAGGCCCAAGAGCTGCCAATCAAACGTGACATCCAATAAATTCGCTGTGCGACAAAAAGGAGAAACCGCAGTGCCTTCTGCTGTCATCCGAGATGTTGTTTGTTGATTAATGCGGCAGGCACTCACCTTCTCCTCAAAACGACGCTGCGCAACTGCAACGTATTCTTCAGAATCGCAAGTCTCCAACCACATCGGGAAGCTCCTACGCGCCTTCGTCACACACCACAATGCAAATGAAAAAACAATGCTTTAGTTGGACTACGATGCGGACCGTGCCACGCCGCCATCAGCTGCGGCTGGGTCCAGAGGCTGGGGCGTCCCGGCACACCACGCGATACTCTCTGGTTGGGTGCTTCCACAGTGCGTTGCACGACGGCGGCGAGGCAATCGCACCGTGTCCGGCCCACGCGCATCAAAGAAGGATGCTTCTGTCCACCTGGCCGCCAATCCAGCACCGCTGCGGAAGATACTCTGGCTTCTCGCACTCACACAACACGAACGCCTCACACTTTGGTATATTGAGGACGTGCGTGGCGCAATCTGATTGGAGGCCATTCCGCCGTCCATGCATGGGAAAGCGGCGACATCAATCCTGCCTCCGAGAGATGCTGTTGTTAATGGATTAGAACGCGTATGTAATATTATTGGGATACCCCGCAACCACAATCGTGCTCCTCCTATTCAACATCGTATTTTCCCCTGGGACACTGTGAGCTGCAATAAAGTGGAATTTATCAGCCACGCTTTGCCCAAGACGCTTCTGACGGCGTCAAGCGCACGGCTCTTGATTCTATTTACTCCTCTCTGGGAGAGTATGATTTTGAATTATGGACAGACGTTTCTTCCTCTCTCGCCGAGCTCGCATCTGGATCCGCTGCACCATTGTATGGCTCCACCACGACAACCGATCTCCCTGTGGAGGTCCATCGTGCAGCAGCTGGCAGGCTCGCATGCCCATATAGAGCAGAGCGCCTTGCCACTGGAAATGGCATTATACATCTCATACCTTTTTGCTTGGAAACATCCCAATCGCCCACACGAATCCTGGTGGCTACGGACTCCCCGTCGAGAATTGAGGCACTCCGCGTCGTTCCACTGGCCGTGCGAGACTACATCGCTGAAGAGAGTTGGATTATGCTGCTCTCCTTGATACAGCGAGGTCACTATGTAGACTTCATGTTCTCTCCATCGCACTGCGGTATCCCACGCAATGAGGCCGCTGACGACGAGGCCATGATTGCACGATCCCTCCCGCAGGAGGACAGCCCAATCTGGCACGTGGACTTTACTGCAGTCAGGTGACCGTACCGGAGGGATGCCCAGGAGAAAAGGAAGGGCGCGTACACCGCATGGCAGGCACCTGTCGGTGTGGCAGGGACTCTATTCCTGGTGTTGACCCGGACATCGGTCCCCCAGTGGCGGCACTGCGCACAGGCGCGATGCGACTCCTGCCCACTCTTTGACAGTCCTGCGCGTGCCCTTCGTATCAAAAGTAACCCTCTGTGTTGGTGGTGCCGTCCCTCCCTCACTGAGGAGACCGGCCCGCCTCTGCCTCCGCCGGAACCTCTTCCCGACGTGAGCACCGCAAATTCTTGCCGACCAGCGGGCGGCGGATCGAAGTTCCCCTGCCCAACCTGCAGCAGAGTGCGCTCGTCCGTCCACAGTATGAGTGCGCATGCCCGACGTGCTCAGCCTGGCGTTCCAATACTTTGAGAAGGCCTCCCATGCGGATGCCACAATTGTGCCAGCGTCTTCTTAACAGGCGCCTCGCACACAGGTCGCCACAGAAAGCGCCAAGCACGCCAGCAGGCAAAACACGCAGGAAGCACAACCGCGGGTACTCGAGACGGACCACGAAAGACTTCGCTTCATCCACTGCAGAAATGCCCCCGTCGTTGGTAATTGGGAATGCGAGAGTTTGGGGGTGCCCCAGCCCGCACGACGGCACGTTTCGGACGGAATGCTTGCCACTATTGTACGGACAGCCATTGTGCTACTCACTCGTTATTGTAACAGCATACAGCAAAAACAAGATAACAAGCTGCTTTGCGATGAATATTGGCTGCGATTCCCGTGGACCAGTAATTTAAGTGGTGTGCGGGGATATCCCTTTTAATTGTTACTTTGCTTTTTTGTTGCTGTGCGCGCTGCACCTCCTCTTGTGTGTGTGTGTGCCCTCCGTGAGGGGTGCCGACACGACGGACCGCTCTCGCCGTATGTGCATGCGGTGGAGCCTTGTGTGCCGCTCCTGTTTGCTTCTCCCTCTTCCATCTGTGTGTCGTGCGTGGTGTGCGGCGTACGGTGCATGCCTGGCTGCTGCCCTCTGTGTGTGCCCTCTGTGTGTGTCTGCCGCACCTCTCGTCTCCCCTTTTGCTCTCCATTTCCCTCACCGTGCAGATCAGCTCCACACCACTGAACGACCACACTCACGATGATGACGCGCCGTCTGCTGTGCGCCCTGTTGGTGCTTGCCCTGTGCTGCTGCCCGTCTGTGTGCGCGGTAGTGTCTACTCAGCCTGAAGTCAAAGCTGCTGTCGCCACCATTTCACCGTCCCTTGTACCAGAAGTACCACGTAAGGAGATCGGTAACTCAGGGTCGTTAGGTAATGAGTCCGGTGCGGATCTGGGAATTACTGCAGTAGCGGGACCAGCCCCGACCGCTGCAGGTCCGGAATCAGTTGGCGTGTCTAACACGTTACAAAATCATGGTTCTGACGGTACTCCAGGACGAGAAATCGGCACAAGACAATCCGCAGAAGAAGCAAGTCAGGAAGCCGAAGATCCTGCCGAGAAGACCACGACGACGACTACAACACAGGCACCAACAACGATAACAACCACTACAACAAAGGCTCCAACTACGAATACAGAGGCGACAACTACGACGACCACCCGCGCACCGTCACGTTTTCGGGAAATCGACGGCAGCCTCAGCAGCTCTGCGTGGGTGTGTGCCTCGCTGCTGCTCGCCGTATCCGTGCTGGCGTACACCGCTGTGGGCTGAAGAGGTGTGTGTATGCGGGCTGTGCGTGCAAGCGGTCAGGCACGAGTATTTGTGCGCGTCAACTGTTGTCCGATTTACTAAATAATAGAATAAAATAATGATTGTGTTTTTTGCTTCATTTGCTTCAGTTACCATGCTGTGTGCTCCATTTTGCTGCTCTCGCATCCGTCACGTGGAACGCATTCCAGTCACACTTACAAGCGCGAGACGCACACGACTGTTTGCATCGATGCACTGTTGAGGATGGATGCATGCGCACTGCAGCCATTTGTGTGCAGCTCTTTGTTTTTTTGTGTTTTTACAGTTTTACTTTTTTTTGTTTGCTTCTTATTTTATTTTATTTTTTTTCTTTTTTGCATGTTGTTGTGCGCTTTTTGCACTTTATTGGTTTAATATTTCTTACTAAATGCGTGCTGCTGCTGCCGGTGTTTTTTACTGTTTTTTTTGTTGTGTGCGTCCTTTTCATTTCACTCTGCGTTGACGTGTTGTTATTTTGTGCTGAAGGCTACACGCAAGTGACAGGAGTGATGGCGATGATGACTGGCCGTGTGCTGCTGGTGTGTGCCCTCTGCGTGCTGTGGTGCGGTGCGGTTTTTGGGCACGCGATGGAGGATTACTGCGGTGAGGGTGGAGGGAACGGTTTGAGGCACACGAGTAATGGTGGAGATGACGGCGTGTCTCTAAAAGCGGACTGCGTGCTGTTATCCACTCGAATGGCATTAATAAAGGCGGTTGAGGCTGCGGATGGACAAGGATTGAGTGGAGATCCACTGGAAACATCTCAGGATTCATCACCTGGTAAGAAATTGGACGATAAGACTTCGGGCGGTGGAACGCCTGGTTTAGGAGGCGGTGTTGCAGGTCCAGCAATAGCAGCAGCGGCAGCACTGGAGCCCGGAGAATCAGGTAGAGGTGAACCGAAAAGGGAATTGGAAGTAGCGGATACAGCTGGTGAAGAACATGCCAACGATAGAATGAAAGGAAGTGAACGTAATCCCGAAAATCTAAAAAATGGTCAATCTTCCTCTTTTTCGTCTGGCAGCCCTGTTACTCTGGGTGGTGAAGGACTCGCCTCGGAAAAAAATTCCAAGGCTGCTGAACCCTCCGAGGATGGGCTGAAAGTAACAAAACTATCACAACAAAAAGCAGAAGGAGACAAAGAAAACAAAAATGATACGATACTCATAGGGGTACGTGAAAATCCAGAAAAAAACACAGAAATACAAACGGCACCACCACCGCCTGCAAATAATGGAAAGTCCGGTCCTGAAGATACCGTGCGCATGCAACAGCTACAACAAGTTCTAGATGGCATTGAGTCAAACTACAACTCACAAACGAAGAGCGTTGCCTCCATCGCAGCCAATCAACACAATGAACCGTCCGCCGACAATGCAGAATCCACGCCACCATCAGCCACGGCAAACGGTGATGCCGCCAATAATGAAGCTGACAATAGCACTGAAGAGGGCATCCCGAAGAATGATCCAGCGGCTGATGGTGCAGGGACAGCAGAGGGAAAACAAAATGAAAATAAAGATGCCAATCCGAAAGAAACACCAGTGACGGCCGCAGCCATGAAAACTACAACGGCGACGACTGGCGACAGCGACAGCAGCACCGCGGTCTCGCACACCATCTCTCCTCTTTTGCTTCTTCTTCTTGTTGTTGCGTGTGCGGCTGCTGCTGCGATGGTGGCCGCGTGAGTGTGAGAGAGAGAGAGCCGTGCACCGCCCGCACACACACGCGTCTTTCACTCTCTGTGTGTGTGTCCCCTTGCATGGACTCTCGCCCTCACCTCACCCCACGAAGCACACACATAATGTGCCCATTGTATATATGCATGCACACCCATGCAGGCCCGTTGGTGCTCTCTTTTGCACGACACGCACCGCTGCCGTCCTGCCTGGCTGCATGGACGGAGCACCGTAACTGTTTCTGTTTTGTTTTTATTGCATTGAGTGGGTGACCTCTCTCTCTCTCTCTGTGTGTGTGTTTTGCTTTACGGGAGCAATGAGAGTGTGTGTGCGCTGGTCGTCCCACGCTTCGGCTTTTTGTTTTGTTTTCTTTTTGATTTTGTGGTTGAGTGCACCCATTCCGCTGGCTGCGTGTGTGTGTGTGTGGGACGATATGAGTAATTTGCGTGTGTACTATCTGCCTCTCTCTGCCGTTGCTTTCTTCTGACTCTCTTGTGCTGAACGGCTGCTTCGCAAGTATAGGCTTTGATAAACACACACACACACGCCGTGTTGCACATGCTATGGAGCGTCATGAAGGAAGAACGCACACACAAGATTTTTGTTGCGGCGGCCTTTGCGGAGAGGGTGTGAGCTCGCCCTGTGTCCCCTGGACTTGCTGCGGTTGTGGTGTTGGCGACGTGCAGCAGTTGACTGATGTGGTGTGGCATTAAGGGTGACTGAGAGGAGTGCAGATCCTTGCCCGGCAGCTGCACTTGCCGACGTGTTCCTCCCGCAGTTGATGCACCCACGAAGGAGTTCTTAGCCTGTGTGGGGCGATGTGCGATGGAGGGTGCGGGGAGAGACAACAGTAAAACGACTGGCGGCAGTGCATGTGGGCGTCGCTTGGTGTGTGCTGACGCGTGACGAATGGCACACCCACCGTGACTTCTGCTGCTGCCGGTGGCAGTCGTTGTGTGCTCCCTGTGCATTGTTTTTCCTTCTCATTCCGTGTGTCTGTGTGCGTGAGTTGTTGTTGTTGTTGGGAGTGACTGCGGCGGGGATGATGGTGCCACTCACTGTGGATGGGTGGCCGGTGTTCACTGTTTTACTTCTTTTCCTATTCTCTCTATTTCCCACACAAAGAAGGAAAGGAAGTAAGGCTAAGCGCTAATCGCTACTGTGGAATTCGAAGGCACTGAAAGGACCAACAGCACACACACCGCCCACACACACATATTTATATGCTCTCACGTGCTGCTGCAGTGAAAGCACCCCGCACACACAACCGTCGCGGCGTGACCGGATCGAGCGGGAGGAGGAGGGAAGGAGGAGAGAGTGAGCCGCAGAGGCCCAACATGTCTCGGCGTGTGTTTGCTTCCGCGGTGCTGCTCCTCCTCGTCGTGATGATGTGCTGCGGCAGTGGAGTGGCTGCACTCGCGGAGGAGAGTAATCCAGTGACTGCTCCAAATTTTGAATGGAAGGACGTCACTGATGTTGATGTAGCTTTGGACTCTTTGAGTGCTCCCGGCCTTCTAAAAGTGGGGAGTGACGTGTTTGCCGTTGCCGAGGCGCAGTACAAGAAAGATGAAAACACCTTTACTGGCATTGCATCCCAACTACTCACGATGGAAACGGATAACACACCGGTGGAAATAATGAATGGTGCCAAAAGAGACACACAGGTTCTGGAGGAAGGCACTACCCCAAAAAATAAAAAAGTAGATGTGAGCCGACCAACAACAGTTGTGAAGGGAAAAGATATTTACATGCTTGTTGGGAAATACAGCCGGACAGATGCCGCTGATGCTCAGGAGAGGGGTGCAGGTGACTCGGGGCTATTGCTGGTGGAGGTGAAAGTCAATAGTGTTGAAGAAAATAACAAAAAAATTGACTGGAAAGGTACTGAGAGTTCCCCGCAAAGAATTGACACACAGTCCGATTCCTGGACAAAGCTGATTGGAAGCGGTGGATCTGGTGTTAAGATGAATGACGATACGCTTGTGTTTCCAGTGGAAGGCACGAAGAAGGGTGAATCAAATGACGGAAAGACCGTTTCGCTGCTCATATACACCTTGAAGGATACCACTAAGAGTTGGAAGCTATCGAAGGAGGTTCCTTACGATGGCTGTAGTGATCCCTCCGTCGTGGAGTGGAAGAAGAAGGACAAAAAACTCATGATGATGACTGCGTGTGATGATGGCCGCCGCAGGGTGTACGAGTCCGGTGACATGGGAGATTCGTGGACGGAGGCACTCGGGACACTCTCGCGCGTGTGGGGCAACAAACATGGCCAAGAAGCGAAGGGCGTTAGAAGCGGGTTCATCACAGCGACGATTGACGATGATGATAATAACAGAAATGTGATGCTCGTCACTCTGCCGGTGTATTCCGAGGAGAAAGATAAGAAGGACAATGGAAAGGGCAAACTCCATCTTTGGCTGACGGACAATACGCACATTGTTGATATTGGGCCGGTATCCGATGATGACGCTGCCGCCAGCTCCCTGTTGTACAAAAGTGCTAGAAGTGGAACTAATAAGAAGGAGAAGGAGTTGATTGCACTGTACGAGAAGGACGGGGAAAAACCATCACACAGTCTTTGGTCTGTGCGTCTGACTGCGCAGCTGCAGCGTGTGAAGGATGTGCTATCGACGTGGAAGAAAGTGGACGACATTGTCTCCAAGCTGTGCCCTTCTGAGAGTGCTGCGAAGGACCGTCCAACTGACAATGCCTGTAGCGCTGTCATTCCGACGGATGGGCTGGTTGGCTTTTTGTCCGGCAACTTCTCTGGTAACACATGGAGGGACGAGTACCTCGGGGTGAACGCCACAGTGACGAATAAAGATGGGGATGCAGGGGAGACAAAGGCAACAAAGACTTCCGAGGGTGTGAAGTTCAAAGGAGCGTGGGCGGAGTGGCCTGTTGGTGAGCAGGGGGAGAATCAGCCGTACCACTTTGCGAACTACAACTTCACTCTTGTGGCGACGGTGTCCATTGATGGTGTGCCGAAGGGGAACACCCCCATTCCAGTGATGGGTGTGAAGATGAATGGCGATGAGAAGACTGTACTTTTTGGACTGTCGCACGAGAACGGAGGGAAGTGGAAATTGCTTTGTGGTGGCGGAACGGACACTGAGGATCAAAGCGTCAATTTGGCGACGGAGACAAAAAACCACGTCGTAATTTTGATACGGAACGGCACCCAGGGCTCTGCGTACGTCGATGGTAAAAGTGTGGGTGGGAATGCGCAATTTGATTTGAAGGATATTGAAAGATCTAGAGGGATCTCTCACTTCTACATTGGAGGGGATGGAGACGGCGCAGAGGGAGAAGAAGGCTTTTCTGTGACCGTGTCGAATGTCCTGCTGTACAACCGTCCGTTGGATGACGATGAGATTGCAGGGCTCGACAAAAATAAAATTACGAATCCGAAGCGGGAAGGTCCGAAGACATCGACGACATCTCCTCGTTCACCAGCGGTAAGTGGATCAGATGTGCAGGGAACCGTTTCGCAGTCCTCTTCTGCTGGGCAACTGCAGTCGGAGCAGGGACAGCAGAAATGGAGCAATGGTGCCGGAGCTGGCGGCGCATCCACACCAGCGACGTCTACCGCCGCAGCTTCTTCAGGACAGGAGCCCGTAAACCAGCCGACATCTGGAACTTCTTCCAGTGGAAACAAAAATGTGGATGGCACTCCCTTGTCTGGTGGTGACAAAGCTGTGACAGCAGGGAGTGGAGAAACGGTTCAGGGAGATGGATCACTCCAAACTCCTGAGGTCAGCGTGAGCTCTGATGAGGATGGGGAGAGGGCGGAAGGAACGGATGTGCAGCAGGAGGGAATCCATTCACAAGACAGGGAATTAAATGCCACGGCACTCAGCAGTCGCCTTGGAAATGTGTCGCAGGGGAATAACACCGATGCCGGCAGTGTGCGTGGGAGCGGACTGCTGCCATCGCTGCTTCTTCTGTTGGGAATGTGGGTGTTTGCGGCTCTGTGAGGAGTGACTGGCTGCCGCGTGGGACACTTGCAACCTCCCCAGCACCGACACACACGGTAATTAATTTATTTTCTTTAATATCTTTTTTTTACTTTTCCCTGTTTGCTTTTTTGTCTGTTTTGTTTTTCCTTCATTTTGCTTTTGGGGCAATCACTATGGACGTTTTTTCTTTTCTACTCTTCCCTCTTTAATTGTTTGTTGCTGCACTCTTCCTGCGAGGGGTGCCGTGTGTTTCTGCCCAACTGCTCCACTCGCACACCCACCGACACGCTCACGACGACGGCCCTGTGCGCCTCGCCTGCTGCACGCATGAGGAGGGGCCGCGACGAACGGCGCGCTGAGGGAGCCGTGACGTGTGGGCGTGCGACGAGGGCCTGTGGGGCGGAGCACACATTTCTTCCCTCTTGTTTTGTTTTTTTAGCGGCCAGGGCGGGCAGACACCCGCAGCGCCACACACACAGCCACACCCTGCCGCCGTGTTTTTCTTTAAGGATTTGTTTTGCTTTGCGTGTTTATTTCATGCGGTGGCGCACCCTTTGGTGTCGGCCTCGTGAGCATTTCTCTCCCCTCCGATGATTTCTTTTTCTTTTGCTGCGCTCACTCTCCCGATGGAGTGACGCGACTGCCGTCATGTCTGCGTGCTTCTCTCAGTCCCCACACACACGAGTGACTGTGCTCTGCGGGCCGCACTCACGCGCCGATGAGAGGGCTGAGGGGAGCAGCAACACGCAGATGACCCCGTGAAATATAAACGATGTGCGGACACATGGAGGGTCGGACGGTTGAAGCACACGCAACCATCTTTTTAATTTTATTTTGCGGGCAAAATACATACAGACAGTTTGGTGTGGCCACACGGCAGCCAGGCGATATTTTTCTTATTTTAAATTGTGTGGAGCAGTAATGGACGATTTCTTTTCATTTATAATTATTTTGTGTGATGGGGTTTACATAAGACGAAGGGTACGTTTTTTGTTTTCAATAAATCTTGTGTGAATTGCCGCTGCTTGGGCTGCAGTGCAGTGATGAGTTTGAGCGGTCTTCTTGTTGTTGTTTCCGTTATGCGTCTCCGCTGTACATTTTTGTGCGTCCCTCCACATACTCTGCTCCCTCTTTTCTACTTCTTTGCTTTGTGTTGCTGCAGGCACACACAATCACACACACACAAGATGCACATTGCAGTGGATTTGAATGCACCTTTTGTAGTGCATGCTGGCAGTTGCGTGTGGCGGCTGTTGTCTTCTTCCGTGGCCATGAGGAGGAGGGAGAGAGGGAGCGCAGCCCGAGTCTATTTTCCTGCGGGTGTGTTGCACCGCGTGTGGCTGCGCTGAGTTGGGCTGCGTGTCCCATTGATGGCGGGATGGCAGGAAATTTTTTGCCGCGTGATGGATGGATGAGGGTTCGCTTGCTCCGTGTGCGTTGCGTGGTGGCCGCGGGTTTTGGCCATTTCCCTGGGGCTGCGGGAATGAGCTGGGGGAGATGGTGGTGGATGTCTTCTCCTCCTGCATGGTGGCTGCTGGCGTTGTGTGCCTTCCTTGCGTGGATGCCGTCTCGTGGTGTGTGAACTGTGCGGCTGGGCCTGCTGCCCTCTCCTCATGTTGTCTGCGCTCTCTCGCTGTATCCGCTGTGCCCCGTCCCTCTCCCTCTCGTTCCATTCTTTTCCTTCCGTCTCACGGATCAGCTGACTGACACCAGCGACTCCACTACGGGCGATGATGACTGCGATGGTGACGGTGCGGCTCCGTGTTGGTCCTTGCGCTCTTGTGCTGCTGCTGCTCGTCCGTGTGCGTGACGACGACAGGAGACGATAATAATGATAACAGCCGTCCTCCCAGCCCTGAGCTAGGGAAACCGGATCGTACAAAAATATGCCTGGTGCATTACAGCCATATGGTGGGGAGACCGGTGTGCCACAGACAGAGAGTGGGAGAGACAGCGAGGAGGGTTTGAGAAGTCCAGGACCTTCGTTGCCAAAGGAAGCAGGCACAGCGATCACTGGACTGACACGAGTTCCGCCAGAGTCACTGAGTTCGGCTAGCGATAATCCAGAGCCGCCAGGTTTGGCAACTCAGTCTCCACACACACACAAGGTGCGACCGGTATGTCAGATGCACAAAATAAAAAGCGCAGTAAAATACACGAGGCGATGAGAATCATAAGGCATGGATATCAAATCAGAAGATCAAAATGCCAAATATTACCACCAATAAGACTACAACAACGCTATGGCTCAGCCGGCCGCCTCAACGTGGTGCCAGCGTGCAGTACTCTTTGATAGGGAGGAAAGCAAGTGCCTGCTGCCCATCCGCTACGCGCGGAGAGGTGAAAGGCGCCGAACAAACGGGTCGCAAGGGCACCAGATGGAGCCATTTGTAATGGTTGTCCGCTGAGCGGTGTTTTCATCCGCTGCTGAATTCCATAGCGCTTATCAGCGCTATAAATACCGTTTGCGTGCCGTATGTGACGCGCAACCACAAAAGCTACTGCTAAGCGAGGCAACTGAGCAGCACCCAGGCCCCATAGCAGTACTCCAGATGAACGTTTCTTGCCTCACGCCGTCAAAACTCGCAACATTAATGGCGCAAGGAGCAGACATAATAGCCATCCAGGAGACTTGGAAGTCGTCGGAGCAGATCGCCAGCATGCACACTGGAGATTATGTGCTCTATGCACAGTCGCGCATCGGCAAGGGAGGCGGTGTGGCGGTGCTGGTGCGGAAAACTCTCCGCTCCAAGCGTATACCTCTCACCATCCCCCAGCATGACACCAGCCATGAGGTGGTGGTGGTCCAGGTTGCTCTGGACCAGAACCGTGATCTTATTGTAGCGAGTGCCTATATGAGACCACCACCGCAAGTAACGCAATCCTTCAGGCGGTTAGTAAACTGCCTTCCAGCCTCGTCGCCGCTCCTGCTGTGCGGGGATTTCAACATGCATCACCCACAGTGGGAGCCATTCTTGGAGACTTCTCCAAGCGAGGTTGCTGCAGAATTTTTAGAACTGTGCACGGATGCGGGACTCACCTTGGTTAACACCCCTGGTGGGATCACGTATGCCCGTGGCACAAGAGAACGATCCTGTATCGATCTGACATGGTCAAAGCATCTGACTGTGTCGGATTGGTCAGCTTCCGTGTCGCCGCTTAGTGATCATTATATGCTGACATTCACGCTGCATCAGGCATTTAAGGATACCATACCTTCGGCACCTAGGATATTCCACAGTTGGGGGAAGTGCAAGTGGGATTCATTCGTCAAGGACCTCGACGCACAACTTCCGGCATACGACTATAAGAAACAGTCCACCGGCATCAAAGCTTCCACGAGAGCGCTTATAACTTCGTATCGACGACACTGCCCCCGCGGCATGCACAAGGACGGTCCCAGGCTTTGGGACGACACTCTCACGGAGGCAGAGCGGATTGCTACCGACAGCAAGGCCCGTTATCTACAGTCACCGACGCCCGACCGTGAGGCAGAAATGCAGCGGACAAGGAGTCAATTCTTCCTCCTACTCCGAGAGCGCTTGCGCAACACGTATCTACGTCGCATCAGCAAGTTAAATCCAGGCGAGCCACTCGCATGGAAATACATTTCCGGACAAAAAAGGCATCACTTCCATCTCCCACATCAATTTTATTAGGAGATGGTCAACACACTTATAAAACAGCAAGGAGAGCAGCGAACGCTCTCAATCGCATCTTTTTTCCATTTCACCCCTCTCAAAGAGCGGTCGGGTTTTCCAAAGGCATCAACAGACAGAACACATCTTTGAACACTATTTCCTTTTCTATTTTTGGACCACAGAACAGCAACAAGTCTATCTCTACATTTACATCAGGGGTTTTGTCACTGCCCTCTTGATGCACCTTTTAATCGTACGGAACTGCTTGCTGCGCTACGTAATACGCCGTATGGCAAGGCCCCGGACCGGATGAAGTCTACAGTGAGGCACTGCGACATATTTCGTCAAAGGGCCTCCGATTCCTTCTTCGTTGCATTAACCACAGCTGGACGACCGGTGCGATTCCGGTTGAGTGGAGACGCGCTACCATCGTCCCACTCTTAAAACCCGGTAAGTCGCCGGAACTGCTTGAGTCATATCGACCCATCAGCCTTACTTCCATTGTGAGTAAGGTTGCTGAGAAAATGGTACTGAAGAGATTGCTTTGGGTGTGGACGCCACACCCCCATCAGTATGCATATCGTAGCATGCGTACCACGACGATGCAGCTGGCACACCTGATACACGAAGTGGAGCATAATAGAAATCACTATTTCCAAGTGAACCTTCCCAAGAAGAGCGGTATTGGCAATCAACTCCACTACAGACCCCATCGGACCCTGCTGGTGTTGGTTGACTTCAGCAAAGCCTTTGACTCCATAGACCATCGAGTCCTCAGTCGCTTGCTGGCTAATATCCCGGGGGTGCATTGTAGAAGGTGGCTTAGAAACTTTCTATGTGGTCGCTACGCGAAGACACGAGTTGGCCACAGACACAGCGATCGGCGTCCCATGCTGCGAGGAGTTCCTCAGGGGTCCGTACTGGGACCGTATTTGTTCTCCCTTTACGCACACCCACTTCTCAATCTGCTGAACAGCTTTGCGGGTGTCACAGCAGACATGTATGCGGACGACCTCTCTATTATCGTTAGGGGGCAGTCCCGGGAAGACGCCATTCCCACTGCCAACATGGTTCTTGAAAAACTGCATGCGTGGAGTCAGGAAAATGGCCTGGCCATTAACCCGTCAAAGTGT